GAGAACAATGAATTCAAAACGCTAAAAAGAAGAATGAATGGATCTCCAAGTGGTTGTAAATAAAATTGTAGAAGAAAACTTATATTTATAGGAGTAATAGATGTTTAAAAGTTACAAAACGATAGAAATTCCATTATAAATTATAATTAAATGAATTTATTAAAGTTGTATAAAGGACTTTTTGCATTCCATATATTTAGTATTATTGATAATTAATTATTAACTTTATAATTTATGTGTAGAAAAGACCTTTTGAATTCCAACCTTTTATATTCCTTATAGTAATTATTAAACATTTTATATTCGTTATAGTAATTATCAACTAATTAATTTACTATATTTAAAGAAAGGGATAAAATAATTAATTGATTTTTTAAAATTAATTAGTAGTGGCATGTCTAGTAATTTAGAAATTGAGGGAGGGTCATATTAGTCCAAAAATGTTTTTCTTGGATTGTCCCTTTTTAATATAGTATAGATTTGAACATTTGTCTTATTGTTAGTGGTGCAGGTACAAAGATGTTAGATTTTCTGATACGGATTTTATATCGTACGTTATTGTGTTTTATTGTTTTTCCTTGTTTAATTTAGGCTATCATTCTTTAGTTTTGTTTCCTTGTTTAGTTTAGGCATAACATGTACATTTGTATCATTTATGCTTCAATGAAAAGGAAGGGAAAATTATCCCCAAATTTTCAAGTTTGTGAAGAAGTATCCATGGCAGGTAACTAAGGTAGAGATGATGAGGGCGATGGCTCAAGAGATGGAGACAAGGACAAGGTTGGTGCACATTATCTCATCAAATCCCACATCCTCGAGAAATACTTGTGACGAAATATCATTGCTTGCAAAGTAATTCTTCTGACAGTTAAACTCTGTTCCATTATCACTACGAACTATTTTTACCTTTTGAGAAAATTGGCGATCAATCATGGCAACAAAGGACATAAATATTTGAAAAAATCTCTTTTTTATCAATCAAGAGATAAACCCATACAACCCTATAGTAATCGTCCACCAAAATTAAGAAGTAGCGTGCACCACAAGAAGAAAGTTCATTGTACAGACCTCACAAATCGCAATGAATTAGCTCAAATATTCTAGTGGATTTATATTGACTTGAAGAAAACTATTGCGAGACTGTTTAGCCCGATGACATACCTCACATCCTTTTCTAAATGATCTTTAGAGTTGGAAAGAAAAGAGAGCAACCTTACTACATTCTCGAAAAGGTGACCCAATCGATGATGCCATAATTCCAATAACTTCAAACTAGGAACTGAAACGACTTGCATTATAAGATGCTGCTGCAGATTTCCCTCATTTGATCAACGCCATCATGCTTCCTCAAGTACTTCTTTTCTTATAGTACATTATGTTAGTTGTGATAAATTTACTACACCACATCGAAATTTTCTTACAGCTATAACTATAGGCGTTGAACCACAATCCTTTAAAGAAGTTGTAACAGACGCTAGATGACGTACTGCTATGCAAAAAGAAATTAACGCTTTTAAAGACAATGACACTTGAACTATAGAAAAATTGTCTACCGGGAAGAAAACTCTTGGTAGTAAATAGGTGTACAAAATTAAATACAATTCTGATGGCAGTATTAAGCACTTGAAGCCCGACTCGTTGTCTTTGGCAATCATCAAGTTGAAGGAATTGACTACAATGAGACTTTTGCTCCAGTAGCAAAAATGGTGGCAGTTCAAACTTTTCTTGCAGTTGCAGCATAAAAAAAATTGGGACTTTCATCAGATGGATGTACATAATGTCTTTCTTCATAGTGATTTGGATGAGAAGGTTTATACGAAACTTGCTCCAGGCTTTACAGCCAGTGACTCCTCTATGGTTTGTCAACTACGAAAGTCATTATATGGTTTACGAGAGGCTCCACGATGTTGGTTTGCCAAGCTTGCAACAACTTTAAAGGGGTATGGTTTTCTTCAGTCTTATTCTGATTATTCTTTATTCAATTACACTAAATGGTTAGTTCAGCTCAACGTTTTAGTGTACGTCGATGATTTGATAATCTCTAGCAATGGTTCCGTTGCGATAATGCGGTTTAAGGCATATTTGAGCCAATGTTTTCATATGAAGATCTTGGTAACTTAAATATTTCCTTGGTATTGAGGGGGCTAGAAATAATTCAGGTCTATATTTGTGCCAATGAAAGTATGCTCTTGATATCATCTGAGAGGTTGGTTTATTGGGCTCCAAACCATTTTTTTTCCTCTAGAACAGAATGATCAGTTAGCACGTGYTACGGGTCTTTCTCTTTTAGATCTGGAGTCCTATCGACGTTTAGTTGGGCGGCTTATCTATTTGGTTGTCACTCGTCCTGATTTAGCTTACTCGGTTCATATTTTATCTCAGTTTATGCAGGAACCGCGAAAGGAACATTGGGATGCAGCGTTACGTGTTGTACGCTACTTAAAGAAATCTCATGGCCAAGGAATTTTGTTACGTTCCAACAGTGATCTATCTTTGACAGGGTGGTGTGATTCCAATTAGGCAACTTGTCCTCTTACTCGACGATCCTTCACTAGATGGTTCATTTTTTTTTAAACTCACTAATTTCATGGAAGACTAAGAAGTAACATACAATCGCTCATTCTTCTGCCGAGGCAGAATATCGTTCTATGGCTTCTATTACATGTGAGCTAAAATAGTTGAAAGGCCTACTTTTGAGTACTTTTGAACTTGGGTGTTCATCATCCAAAGGCAATATCTCTTTTCGGCGATAGTCAGCATGCATTACACATAGCAGAATCCAGTTTTCCATGAATGCACCAAACACATTGAAAAAGTTGACTGTCACTTTGTCCGGGATGCAATCAAGGAAGGTCTAATTGCACCAATTTATGTTCCCACATCGGCACAATTGGCTGATATTTTTACTAAGGCATTGGGAAAGATACAATTTGATCTTCTTCTTGGCAAATTGGACATTTACGACTTGCATGCTCCAACTTGAGGGGAGGTTATACGAATCCTATATTGTATATTATTGAGTTTAATTGTTTTTCCTTGTTTAATTTAGGCTATCATTCTTTAGTTTTGTTTCCTTATTTAGTTTAGGCAAAACATATATATTTGTGTCATTTATGCTTCAATGAAAATGAAGGGAAAATTATCCCAAAATTATCATTTTGAAACAACTTGAAATAGATTTTGTCGGTAAATATATTAGTTAAAATAATCTTAGAAAACTAATTTTCTATTAATTTTATTAAATATATATATATATATAACAAAAAATAGTTATCGAATAATTCTTTGGTTTTTGGTTTTTTGTCTTTTGAAAATATAAAACTACAAATTGTTATCAAACAGGTTTGTTTTCTGTTTTTTAAAAATAAAAAAATAGTTATCAAACATATATAATTTTTGTTTTCTAAAAACAGAAAGCTAAAAACTAAAAAACAAGAAAAACCAAAAAAAGAAATGATTATCAAATGGGCCATTAATTATTCTGATTTTACCCTTCCAAATTTTCACATATATCAGATCAAGTATATGAAATATTTTTAAATATTTAGGTTTTGCACACACTACTACAATGGGCTTCAATGAGTAAAAAATGTTGAAAACAACTCGTCATAAATTGCTCAGTCAAAATTTTGGCGTGAACATACGCTATTTTTCAGTTTTTTTTACAAATTTATGACATTTAAAAATTGTAACAAAAGTTGAAAAATAAACTCTTGATTCAATGACAGTTAAAAAATTTTATTAAATATCGGGGGCGTGATTTTGGCATGAAAAAAAAAAGATTTACAAACTTTTTCCATTTTTTATGAAATTTTTTAAGTCATAAAAAGTCCATAAATATTGGGATCCAATAACAGTTAAAAAATGTCATAAAATGTTGGTGGTGCGATTTTTGACAATAAAAAAGAACAAAGATTTTAGATTTTTCATTATTTATGACATTTTTTAAGGTAACAAAAAAAAAGGGATTCAATGACACTTAAAAAATGTCATGAAATGTAGGAGGCCCCACGAAAGAGTAGTTCTATCTTTATCTGGTATTTGTCAACACTGCACGTGGAGCTTCCACACGATTGCAAAGTTTTTTCCATGTTCGAAATTTTCTCTTTGTTTATTTAGTTTGAATCTCATATATTTTTCTGAGTTTTTCCACCTCACATTTTCAAGTTAGACTAGTTCAGGTTTTAATTTATGTCTTCAAATTCAAATTCTTCCTACGATGGTGAATTCAAATTTTAGTTTTTCTGGTTAAGGAGTTTGAATTTTGCTTAGGTTCGTTCATTAAATCCTTTTTCCATTTTGAAGTTGTTGACCTCTTCTAAGCTTTGTTAGTTGTATCCTAGTTTAAATTTTGAAATCAAAATTCAATACTTCATGGCATATGTATTCTTCTTACATTTCTGGTGACTTGGACACATCACCTATACTAATTAGAACTATTTTTTAGAATGAAATTATCGCTACATAGAATGAGACAGTGCCACTGAAAAAGAAATGTGCATCGGGTAGTTAGTGTATCACTTTTCAAAACGTTTTCTTAAACCATGCTCGTATATAAATTTAGAATCATCCCCATTCTACCGTGATCTCGATTTATGCATATGCTCTCAAGCTTCATGCAACACAACCAAACTTTTAAAAAATGAAATTTGATACATAAATATGAACTTAAAGATCATATAGAACAACTCTAACCTTTTATATGCCAATCTCATAGACCTTACTATAAAAATAATGCAAACAATCATTATTAAAAACCATAGAAAAAAGACAATAATCGTCATAAGTACATTTGGACTAGGTCACGGAAGTCCTATTTAGCAATTTCAAATATACAATAACATTATTAACATTTACAAGTCACTCAATTATCTTAAAAACCCCGCCCTAAAAACAATTTGTTTCCAAACAAAACAAACATAATAAATAAATAAAAAAGTAGATTTAAAAATAAAAACATCAATTGACAATCTCTCTCTATCTAATATATAGTTGGCAATCCATAATTTATCTTTGATATTTCAAAATATTTGACAACCAAGAACAAACTCACAAACCTTAATTAAGAGAGAAAAAACTCTACCTTTGGGTGAACTAACGAGAGCTTCCCATACCAAGAAAGTCTATAAATGGAACCCTCTTCTTCTTCTCCTCCTCCTCCCCCTCCGGTGCGGTCGCCGCCGGTGGTGCCGCCGCGAGAGGAGTCCATTTAACGACGTTGTGATGATGAAGATGGTTTGGAAAGTTATTCTTCGAGGGGATTAAGGTCCTAAGTAGGCGTTGCTGTTTGTTATTAAGGTTGTTGTTGTTGGAGAAGATTGTGAAGCGTTCTCTTCGACGTCGGGCCATGATGACATGGAAGTGATTCTTGACCGCGTTGTCGGTTCTTCCTTTGAAATGTCGAGCTATCAGTGCCCATTTGTTCCCATGGAGCTGCTGGTACATTAGAAGCCTTTCTTCTTCCTCTTCTGTAAATGGGTCCTTGTTTATGCTTGGATCTAGCTGGTTGTACCATCTCAATCTGCAGCTTTTTCCTTCCCAACCAAAAAAAACCGACATTTAAAAAACATATTTAGTCTCTGTACTTTTCGTTACCGTTTAGTCTCTAAATTTTAATAGTGTAAAACAATTTAATCTGTATATAGTGCTTAAACTTCATCATATGTTTTAGCTTTGACGACTTTTAGTGAATTTCTCTGTAGTGTAAATTTTATTATGGTTCAGTTTTTGTTGCGAAATGTGGTGGTGAAGGCGAAGTATCAATAATCTTAGTATTTAAGAAATTAGGATCTAAAAATTATTTAGTCTCTTTACGGGTTAATTAAAGTGAAGTTATTGATCTTAATCTTGTCAAAATAAAACATAAAATTAGTACGTAACATGTCTATTAAAATTTAAAAACGATTTAGTTCCCATCGTAAAAATCAGGTCAAAATGAAGAATTTAGTTTTAAAAAAACAACTTTGTTTTGAGAATTTTTAACTAAGGACTAAAATCTTATTAATTTTAAACGTTGTACGTTAAAATTCAGAGATTAAATCGCTGCCATCGAAACGAAAACGTTCAAGAAAGCAGCTTTCTAACCAAACACGCATCGGAATGAACAAAAATTTCCTCGTCAGACGGAGTTTGAGATTTGGATATAATTACAAAAAATTATTTAATTTACCTGATCTGCTCTCAAAATGTTCTGCAATAAAATTCCAGTTCTGGTGGCCATACTGCTCCACAAGTCGCCGGAGTTTGTCGTCCTCCGCCGGCCTCCAGTGGCCTCTGTAGCAGCTTCCGCCGCCACTGCCGCCGCTGCTACTGCTGGATCTAACCATTCTCCAAAACCCAACACTGAAAAACTTGAGAGAAACCCTCAAGAAGAAGAAGAAGAAGAGGAGAGAGAAAAAGTTTTAGATGTGAAAAAATTTCATTGAGATTTGATATAACAGAACAACTCAAAGTTTTATTTATTTATTTTAATTTTAATTTTTTTCTTTAAAGTTTGTGAAGACATTTTTGTTTGTAACAACATAGAACAGATGCCATTATAAGGCAATTTGTGATCTAATTAGGTAAATGGGCTGTCTTCTAAAATGTTCCTTATTTGGGATAATCTCTTCACTGCAATTAATTCTTCCTTATTCTTCATCATTTTTCAAGTTTCTTTTTTATTTCATTTTTTCTTTTCATATATAATAAGCAATGCTCTCATTATTTATAAGTTGTATGAAGTTGGTAAAACTCCTTTACTGATCTCTTATATATTCTCACAATTATATAAACTAAATTCTCGTGAGTTCATTATACACACACTGGAACATCTCGATTACAGTTCGAGTAGAACTAAAATTATGTGTAGGGCTGATGTCACTGTGTAAGATAAATATCATGGAAATAAAAGTAAAAAAGGAAAAAGAAAACTTGAAGTCATATGATAAGAGTAAAGAAACGTATAACGACCTTATTTTAAATATTATTAAAAAAAAGATCAGTCTTAATGTTTTTTCTTTCCTTCCTTTTTCCTGTTATTTTAAAAGTAGTTAAAAAAGAAAAGACTTTTAAAAGAAAGAAAATTGATCTTTTAAAACTTTTTTTCTAAAAGAAATTCAATTTAATTAAGATTTCAAAATTGGTTTTGAATTATCAATTGATTATTAATTTATTTAAAAATTAAAATACATTAAGAAAACAGACAAAATGACTATGGAAGAATAAGCTCAACTTAATTTAACAATGTCTTGAGATGTTTTATAAGCACAAATTCCTGTAATATTTACTCGTTTAACCTATATTTAGTTATTAATATGAACATAGCTCAACATTTAAGACATCTTCCTCATCCACTAGAGTTCGGAAATTCAATCTATCATCCCCATATTTATCGTACTAAAAAAAATCTAGATTTAGTTTGCAAGTCTATGATTCTAAAAGTTAACAAATAACTACACAACCTCCCCTGAGCTCGAAAACTTGGTGGAGGATGAATAGAAACTTATTCGTGGAGGTCTACATGAAGAAAGGTCTTTTTGACATCGAGCTAATGCAGTGGCCAAGATATGTTAGTTGCAACCAATTTCTTTTAGTTTGGCCACAGGAGCAAACGGAGATAATCGATGCCACCAGGTTTGTGTGAATCATTTCGCCACACAAGACAAGCCCTCTCGATAGAGCCATCCGCTAGGTTTTTTTAGCTCAACAAATGTGGGATAGATAAAACCTTCAATTTTGAATAAGGTAATATATGTCTTATTTACTAAGATTCGAATCAACGAACAAAACACGGATTTTAATAAACTAAATAAGTAATGAGATTAGCAAACTCAAAGGGTAAAAATAGGTTCACATTTTTAACATAGGGAATTGGGATACAAGAACAAAACACAATATTAGTCAAACCTCCATGTGGTTTTGTTTGTGCAAAATGGAGATGGTATAATGCTTAAACATACCAAAAATAATCAATCTTCAATTTTCCCTTTTTTTTTTGGGTATTTTTCTATTGCAGCTAACTAAATCTCTGTAAAGAGATTATGATGACATCTGTATTTGCCAAAAGTGGATATTGATATGTGAAAATATCAACACTTTAAAGGGTCAAACCCGGGACTTCAATTAAAACCCTATTAAATAATGATTAGTTTCATGTATACTACTTACTACACTTAAAAGTTATGTAATTTAATACTTATTGAGTAAAAAATAATAATTTTAAAAAATTATAATCGACGAATTCATTGAAAATATCTAGCGCTTTTGATTTTTGAAGTAACTTTTTTTAGTACAACATGTAAAAGTGAGGGATTGAACTTACAACTTCTTGGTTGGAGATATATGTCAGTTATTACTAAGTTATTATGCTCGCTTTAGCTTGATTTTTTAAGTAATAATTAGTTATAAACTGGAAATTTGAATATATATTATTATAACGTTATATGCATCTTCTAACAAACTATGGAGAGGATGTATTTAGGAACTTTTTTTATTATCGAAATATGGTTGATATCATATTTAATTTTATATGCAAATTAGGGGTGTAAAAAACATTTTTTTTTTTTAATGTTTAACTATAACAAGGTAGAAAACTTGAGTAACCTAAATAGAAATTTTCAAAATTTTAAAGATCAACTTTTGAAATGTGTATATAATATGCAATTGGATTTAAAGTCCAAGATATGTTATTTGAGAAAACTAACATTTTCTTAATTATATTAGTGTTCCAATGAGAAAATGTCAAAAGAAAATAGTATATCCTAACAAGGAAAAATTATAATATATAGCAAATTTTACACTTCAATTAAAAAACAAAAAGAAAAAAAGGACCAATTTTGGTTATTGCATATATCTTCGACTAAAAAAAGTTGAACGTTCCAATCTCCGCCCTTACATGTTGTTGAACTAAATTTATCAATTTTGCCACAATGGGTGTAAGATCCTACTTAATTTATCCATTTTTCAAATTATTAGATTTTGTCATACACATACCAGGTTAAAATAGTATTAATTAACCATATAAAATTTAATTAATATTTGTTGAAAAGGTTAATTGAGCATCATACCTTGCATATTCTCAAATATATATAGATATATATTACAATAAATATGGAGATTAAGGATTGAACCTCCAACCTCTAAGATAAGAATAAAATATCTTAACCATTAAATTTATATTCATATATATTGACTCTCAAATATATATATTTAAAAGTACTCATAATTTATATGTCAATAATAACAAACATAACTTAATCTTCTACGCATATATTATTAAGCGGATAGGAATACATTCCTAACAATGGGAAGCGAAATTTTAATATAGATGGTAAAAATTGTTAATACTTATCTAAGTTTAGAGTTAAATTTGATGAAATTGAAAGTTTAGGATAAAAATTGATGCCAAACTTATCTAAGTTTATGGTTTTTTTTCCGTCAATTCCAAAAACATTTACCTAAGTTGTTTCAATTTCCCATATAGAGAGAAATATCAAAATCCTCCAATTTTACTAAAGGATAAAAATAATCGTCTAATAAAAATGTAAGACTAAAATCATCTACTAAAATTCTCTCTTTTTTTCACTGTTAATAAAACTATCACTATTTTTTACTTTTGCTTTCCCTTTTCAAACTAACTATTAATACAAAAAAAAAAAAAAAGAATCCCAAAACCCAACTAGCTGAATCAGCATAATGAAGTTTGAAACCTTAATTTAGTGAAATTATTGCCAAAAACAGAACATCTTGTAATATCAGATATATAAATAATGGTTGTCTTAATTGTGGATAGTTACATTTTTACTTGTTTTTTTTTTTTTTATTATTTAGCCAATTCATTTTTTTTGGTCATCAGAAATTTTGAAAAGGAATCCAAATTTCCTCTAAATAGTAAAAATCATTTCTGGCTATGCAGTTACACAGGTTGTCATATGCCATCAAAAGAAATTCTTTTTTGTTTTAATTTTTTCAATAATTTCTTTCAAAAATAATTTAACAACTGTTTGGTTCCCTTGAGGAGGTTTTGGTTAGACACAGGAGAAAATAAGTAATTATTCAAAATACACGTAAAATACATCCGATTAAATGCATGATATATGTACTTGTTTAATAACGACTTTATTTATTAATTTTTTATTCTTAAAAATTAAACTTGAAAAATTAAATCTAGAAGTATTTTTACGAGGACAAAACATGTAGAAAAGACTATCCATGTTGGTTTGTAGAACCTTTGAGTTTGAAAGCATGAGAGGTTACAAATAGTATCATAACAAATCGTAGTCCGAAGACAAACTAAACAGAAACGACCAGACATGTGACACCGACACCTAGAGGGTAGGAAGTGACGCGCATCAAAATTAGAGAGATTTTGAAACTATAGCTTAAATATAGTTAAATAAAACTAACCCATTCATTATTATTATTATTTTCTTTTTCTGGTTGGGAGCTCAATAATGAAAACAATTTTATTTTAATATATCTGTTGATCAAATTTATAGAACTCTTCAATGTAATAGTGTTTGCAAAAATGAAATTAAAGTTCTCCAACCCATATTTTTTAAAAAAATAATAATAAATAAATAAATAAAAGATTAAAGAAAAAGACCACTAATGGTCCCTCAAATTCAGTTCTTAAAAGAAATTTGGCATTGTACGGACTGATTCAGAATGCCCATTTTGGACATTGAAATTATTAAAAACTTTTTCCACAAGAGAAAAGATTCAGAGAGTAACCAAATATAACCAAATAACTTCATTTATTCTCAATATTCAGCATATTTTTTCTATATTCAGCAATGGCTATTAATTTTGAACCAGGCAAAACCCTCAATGCCAACTGTTAATATCTATTCAAAGCAATTTTTATTAAAATTAGAAATTCTCATTATGTGGTAAACCTCCAACACTATTTCCTTAAATAAATTACAAAAATAAAATGTCTATAAGATAAGAACTAACCTAGTACAATAGAAGTCTTTGAAATTTTAACCAAATTTTAAAAATAAAAGTGGTTTTTTTTATTAAAGGTAGAATAAAATAAAATTACTGGTCAACGAACTTAGAAAAGACTACGAAGATGCGGCAATCTTGTTTTCACTTTTGAAACTGGACTCCATATCTGACTTGACCCAACCCAACCCGACCCAACTCCGTGTGTACGGCTAAAAACGAAAATTGAGATTAAAATAATAATTGTAAAAGAAAACTTAAGCAAAAAAAGGACATTAAAGAAACAGATTCCCCATCAACCCTATCAATATCAATCCTTCACCATTTGTAGCAAATCTCCTCCCTCCCTCTTCTCTCTGTTTTGGTGAGAGGCTTCCACATTTGGAGCATTGACAGCACCACAAAACATCAAGAGATTAGTATTTTTACTAACCAAAGTTATTAAGATAATCACAGCTTACTCTGCCAGGGAAAATCATCCAAAAGTAGCATTTCAAAACAAACTTCTTTCAATGCTATCTTATAGAGAGAATCAACACTAACAGATATGTGTCTGAAATTGGGAATACAATACAACAATATCCTACTAAAATCTCCCTGTTGTAAGTTTTCTTTTATACCATCGTACGTTTTTTCGCGCTTGGTGATGCATTCTGAATAGTCCCTTCTATTTTGACCTGAAAAACGAATGTACGCAAGTAGGGAAACCAGAAAAGAAAGCACAGTTTCTATAATGGAAGCAAAGGAATCCACAAAGCTCAGAAGGGAGAGCCCATTCAAATTCATGAATTTACTGATAATCAGCATCACCATCAAGCATCGGTGTGACAATGCAAATTCAAGTGTTGTTTAAACAATTTATGTCAGTTTAACCCCAGACTTTTCGTCTCAATTATGTTTAAATCTGAAATCCCTGTTATAACTAAGTTTATGTTTGAACCTTATATCACTTGGAGAAGTAAAACCAGATGCTTCAACTTTGATCTTAAGGGCAAAGAATTGACAGTAGAAAGTTATACATTTTGAAATATACAAAAACGAGAACGAGATTAGTTGCTGAAAGGAAGGAACCAAACTAGTTCCAACCTGTCAATCCTAATTTGTCAGCAACGTTATACATCACAAGTTTATCCCAAACAGGTCCAAAGAGACGTTCCCCTCCAATGGCAAATGTCAAGGCCCAAGAGGAAAGAATGGCCATGAAAACAGCAAACCCAATAGCTGACCCAACAATATCTAAAAGGAAGAACAATTTCAAATCGTTAGATAAAATTTTCAAGCACCAAACCCAGGTTTTTATGGGGGAAAATAATATCAGTGAATTTCTCACAGATCTCTTAACCTAACAGGGAATAACTCAAAGTCAACGGAAACAAATGCCTTATCGAACTTTGTAAAAGAAAAAAGTTAACACTAACACTACCATGGTTACATAAAGCAAGAAAAACGGGGGAAAACATCAAAATTCAAAAGTAAACTGATTAGAGCATACCAAAGCATTGTATTATGTCAGGACTAATCAATAAGGTGAAAGTAAACCTTCAGTCACATATATTTTTTTTCTTTTTAACAAAATACGATCTTTTTATTGAGAAATGAAATGAAAAGGAACAAAATTGTTCAAAGATATAAACTCCTAAAGGAGTGAAAAGAGAGAAGAACTACAGTAAGAGAATCAAAAGACAGGACTCCCCAGGGTACCACTTTAGGTTGAAAAGATCCAGAATGCTGCACCATATACCCATGCTAAAGTTCAGTAGATCATCATATGGCTTTGATCCCCACCATTTCCATTACAGGGACACCCGTTCATGAAAAGAGAAAAATCAAAATTCTAAACTTTGTCCAAGTGTCAAAGCTTTCATACTAAATAAACCAAAGAAAGAACTCACCTTTCTTAGACATGTTGGACTACCATAATTTGTTCCGAAAGAATATGGACTAGAATCCAAATTACGAATGAAATAAACATAGTCATGCAAGAGAAGTGTCGTGGATTTCCGAGTTATAGTGACCAAAAGAGAAGCCTTTGAGTGTTGACAGTGTTAATCTCAAATTGATTTCATTATTTCGGTACAACTATGAACTATAGATTCGTTATTGCACTAATTAATTCGTAATTGCAGTACAACTATAAATTCTACTATAAAACAATTTTCCTTCATATAAACAACTTCTCTGCATTATCTTGGAATCAATTTATTGAGATCTTTTATCAAATAAGAATGAGATTGAATAATTTAAACCACAAGAAACAACAGGTGGAGAATAACTTTTAATCACTCTAACTCATGAACCTTGGATAAGTCAGTGTAACTATGAAATAGAAGGGAGAAAATGGTAACCAAGGTGTCAAGAGCCCACTCCTTGCCTTATCCTCAATGCCCACCCGAATAACTCTCAAGAAGACTTAGTCCACCTCAAGGCCAAGTCTGAAAAACATTAAGCGTTTTATGTTATTAAGTTCTCAAGTGGAGCGCTTGAACCTATGGCCTTGAAAGGTATCTCCAAAACCAATGCCATTACCACCACCAAGGAGATACATAAAAACAAAGGGTTGTTGATGCATTCAACAAATAATAAACCACGTTTAAGATTGGCCCTTTCTGAGAGTTTCTCATTAACACACAAAAAACCACCCTTATTACACACAACACACACAAAACCACCCTTATTGTCCTAGTTGGTATCAGTGTTTTAAAAGGCGCGCCTAGGCATTATGCCCACCTATTGCGCCTCGCCTTTTCAAGGCGAGGCGATCTGAATGAGGCGCGCGCTTTGCGCGCGCCTCGTTAGAAAATTCTAAGCCTATGAAGCGCGGGCTTCATGGGCTCTGTTTTTAAAAATAAAAAATAAAACGTACAGACCCTAAATGCAGAACTATTTAATTAAATGGAATGAGTAGAATGATAACCGCCGCACGCCTTTTCCGATTTCCAATCTTAATTTGATTTTTTTTTTTAAATGGAAAGAATCTCAACTGTATCGTCTTCTTCCTTTCCTTCCCATGCACGTAAAAAACTCAACAGACACTTAGTTCTTCTTCTCCCTCTATTTCGATTTTCGACTTTCACTGCATCTCTCTCTCTCTATTTCGATTTTGACACTCTCTGTCTCTCTCTGTATCTCCTGTGGCCGGCCGCCCGTGGTTGCATGAGCGGTGCCGCTGACTCTGTGACTGTGAGCAACTCTCCCCCTCCATTTGTAAGCTCTCTCTCTATTTCTATTCTTTTCTCTATCTTTATTTCTAATTTTTTAATTCTCCAATCCAATGGAAAGTGCATATCTTTCCCTCTGTTTCTATTCTAATCCAAAACAGCAAGCTCCAACAACCTCCAACAACAAAGTTATAGTATTCAATTTCTATTTCTCCACTCCAACAAAGTTACAGACAGTAAGCTATTTCTCTATCCCTTCTTCACTTTCTATTTCTCCAATCCAACACTA